TTGAACATTTCTGGGTCTTTCAGCCATCACTTTTCACCTACCCTGGGACTTGACCTAGCATAATGATGCACTCTGCCCTACTCCACTCCACTCCTTCATTCAAAAGCAAAGTAGTTTGGAAGTAAATACATTTACAAATCATACCTTAAAAAATATAGTAGCCCATCTCCTGTTCTGTGTGTCTTGATTCTACCCTGTGACAAATTCTAAGGCCTTTGAAAGCACTGCCATAGTGGTTTTTAAGTTATTGAAATAAACCATGTCATTTCACAATTCCTTTTTCATGTACAAATGTTTTTTCCATCTAACTCTTGCCATCACAATATTGCTTACTGAAGAATCCTACTGTCTTGATGGTTCCTTTTGCATGACCATGCATATCCCAGTGTCCACACCAATTTCCTTTGTGAGTGGTTGTTGTGTTTTGTCTGTATTGTTTGTGTGATCATAGTGATTATCCTACTAATATGACAACTGTTTGCTAGCTTATTTCTTAAAATTTTCACTTACCTCAGATGTACTATATAAAGCCTGTTAAGCTGGCCCAAGAGATTTCTTCATCTTACTTCTTTGTTGAATATTATTTGATTTATATGTAAGTTTAGAGATGCTTATATTTCCTGTTTTATGTTACACAGACGCTTTAACTTACCCCCACCCCCAAACATTGCAAGAAGCTTTAACCATATGCTGTGTTGTTCTGTGAACCACTTCCTCTTGATAAGTGCTTTCATTGCATTTTGAAAAAAAAATATATATATATATATATCTCGAAGGAATCAAGTAAAATTTAATATTGTCAGTTATTTTCCAATCATATTGTACACTATCTACATCATAGTTTCCACCATCATTTGTGATCTTCTGGATTCTACATTTCCTATCTCATACTAAGTGTGATTCCTATAATGAACAGATTTTTTTTTTTTAATTTTCTCTTCTTTGGTATTTGTGGTTGTAATGTGTGGGCTGATGTTTTTTACTTGAAAAAAAAATGAACATGACCTGCTATTTTTTTTAATTTAAAAATAATAAAAATACCAAAGCAAATTCGTATGAATAGAACCTCAAATTTTTCAACCTGTTTTCTTATTATTTCTATTTATATTTAGACTCTGATAATCTAGCTATAGACTCAAAGCTTTGATTACCTTCACTAAGAAATACATGATAGAATGGAAAGTTAAAAAGTTACAGTCTCAGTGCAAAGATGCAAACATTTTTAACTGCCTTCAAAATAAGACATACAGTGTGTAAATAAAGCCTAGGTATTTAACCCTTGACACATTGATGAAATGAAATACCTGAAAGAGGTTTGTTAACAGTGTCTGGGATCAATAAATATTTGTTGATTTACTTAAATTGCATAGCCTTGGGCAAGTTACTTAACCTCTAGGTGCCTTAGTTTCCTCATCTGTTAAATGGAGAAAATAAAAATGTCCATTGAAGGTGGTTATAAGGATGGACTCAGTCAGTATATGTAAAGCATGAGAATAATGCATGGTGTAGAGTGAGAACACCTAACAGTGTGTTAATAGTTACTTGTATTGTTATCAGGCAGGTGCTGGAATGGGGAGATTCTTCTCTCTTTCAACCCACAGCCATGCACAGAAGTAACAAAGAGAGGGGTAACATCTTTTCTGGTGAAATTTTGAAAACCAGTTCTAACTTGGCTGAACTTAATTGACGGACTCATTTTAATGATCAGGAAGTCATTTTTTTATACATTTCTTGTTATTTTATTATTTTAATTTTACTAAAAGATATTCTTTCATTCTGTAATTGGTACCAGTACCTCAATTCATATAAATATTGTGCATATCTAAGAACACAGCCAAAAAGATGAGCTTTGCAAACATTCAAATTAGACCATCCACAAACCTGGTACTACAAGAAAGCAGGTATTTGACAAAAGCTCCTTATAAAAATGTATATTGGGCAGCCGGGGTGGCTCAGCGGTATAGTGCCGCCTTCAGCCGGGGGCATGATCCTGGAGACCCAGGATCGAGTCCCACATCAGGCTGCCTGTATGGAGCCTACTTCTCCCTCTGCCTGTGTCTCTGCCTCTTTCTCTCCCTCTGTGTCTCTTGTGAATAAATAAATAAAATCTTTAAAAAATAAAAAATAGTAAAATTAAAATGTATATAACACAAGGTTCTTCATGGTATGGATGTTGACTGCCACTAGTGTATCATAAAAATCTTAGATTTTATGCAGAAGTTGTTAGTACTTTTTAAAAAACCTATATGAAAAGTAGTCTTTTTAATTGTTTTTTGTTTTATGAAAAGTGCTTATAAATGTATTATTATCTATTGTGTTTAACATACAAAATTGTTTGTTTAATGAATAAATATTTTAGTTTTAAATACATCAAATAACCCCTTTACTCTAATACTTTTATGCCCAAAATTCAGTTCATAGCAAAAAAGTATAACATATATGTTATGAGAGGGGTACTTGAATATGTTCATATGTGTGTTCATTTTTTTTACAGATTAGCAAATTCAAACACATGAAAAATAAAAATGCAGCATCATCAAATGCACACACACACACATACATATAATTATTCTCTATTTGAAACCCAGTGCAAGCCAGAAGCAGATAATTCTATGTAAATAGCAAAATACATAGTTATATATTAAAGTGATACAGATAACCTGATATATTACTATATAATTAAACTGTTACATTTTCATTCAAAATTATGATATAAATCTATGTTTATAGGGTTAAAATTTGTTAGATATATTATGTGAATAAAGGAATAATTAAGATGGAAGACACAACTTGTTTCTATTAAATAATAGTTAATTAATGCACTATCTGAAACATTAACTGACTTCAAATTGAATTAGACAGAAAGAAATATATTGATTTCTTTGTTGGTCTTTCCAAGACCCAAAGGTTGCTTAGAAATGACATATTCGCAAAAAGCTGTTAATCCCACCCAATCGTGATTTGCACATTGCTTGTTTTGCAATGCATTGCTTGACTAAGGCAGCTCCACCCTTGCCCTTTTGAACTGCTAACCCGAATAGCACTCAGGGCTGGGTATTCTCTTTCTCTCTTTGGCTCTCTTTTTCATCTTGATTTTGACATTTGGATACCACACCTACAAACAGACACAACCCTATTTTTTCATGCTTGGGTGTGTGTCTATGTGTATTTGTATGCACCAAATATATCCCTGTAACTCTTGTTCTGTCCATTCCAAAAATAAGGGTTTTTTTTTTGGGGGGGGATAAATATGTAAAATTTATAGGTTAATCTACATTTATGTTAATAAAGGCCCTCAACTTAAATGTCTTATTATTTTCGCCAAGGTTACAACTCCTTTAAACTGCAATTCATTCAGTAGCAGATTACTTATGCCTGTAGATTTACAGCACAATTCTGATGTTGACTCCTTTTAATAATTCAATACCTTCGGAATGGTTAGAAAAAGGAATGAAAGGGTGGTGGGCAAGATTTTACCAGATGAACACAGAAAGAGTTTCAGCAGAGGTCATGAGAATGCTGCTGTTTTTGAGTTATTTCCATCTTCCTTAGGTGTGTGATTCACTCTGGCATGTCCTTAGCCCACTGTGTATGAGTGGTGTGTGCAAACCGAGAAACAGATCTTTGCGCTCAGTAGGTTTTTCTGACTTATCAGTGTCATATTGCTTTTTAAGACGTTATTCTTCATCATGTTAGTGGTTTTCTAAATTTAATGATTTAAGAGAAAGGTTTAAGGGCAAGATTCTTATTATTAACATCTTCTTTGGTTTCTGTGAGTTCTTTGGGACATAGGCTGGCACTTTTGAGGTCAGCAAAAAATTTATTCTTTCCACTCTGGATGGATTATTTTTCTCCTATGAAAAATTAAAAATGTGTTAACACTATTTTTTAAAAGTGAAATACAATTAATATATCATATTAGTTTCAGATGTACAAGATAGGGATTTGACAGTTATGTATTTAATGAAATGTTCACCATGATACACTAACACTTAACTTTCTCTGTTAATAATAATTCATCTGAAGGATTTCTTTTTTTGTCACATTGTACTGCATAATATTCTAATAAAAATAAACTCCCAGAGGTATTTCTGGAATTTTATTGTTTATCTTGCTAGTTTCCTCTTATCAAAGTGACAAATGAATCATCCATAACGAGATTTTGAATACCAGATGAAGTGTTTGAGGGGACAGCGTGTGAAACCATGAGTACTTTGTTGACTTAAATACTTTCTTTTCTCCATTTTGTAGATAATTTAAAGAAGGGAGGGTATGACTCAGATGCTTTGTAAGCAACTGGGAGGGAATAAAATCACATGTGAGTGGCTTCCCTCCCCAGCGAGAGGCAGGACCTACCTGCAGCAGTCTCTCCTTCTCTGACTGATCAACATCAAGCCCAAAAACCTTCACAGAATGGGATCTTCCTTCTTTATTATTCCATCTTTGCTCACTGATGCTGTGCTTGCATCATCTCTGACTCAGACTTTCACACACAGACACCTGCAGTGTCTGCCTTGTCACTTACATCCCTGAGTGCTCACCTGCTTACCTGGTGTGGTCTGTCCCTGAGCAGTCACTGAATGGCTACCTAGGATTCAAGTACCTGTCTCCGTGCCCACGTGCACATACACCTGATTCTTTCAGATGTGCCTGCTACTTAGGAACGTGCTTGTCCCATGATCTCACAGTCCTCTTTTGTTTTAACTGAAGTCCCCATGTCCACTTGGCCCTACAGAAACTAGTTTAGTCTGGGAAAGTAGAGTCCAGTTGTGGCTCTGAGACAGGTCCTAAGGTTTGGTTCAGTCTTGGACCAAGCAAATTGGAGAGAGGGCAGGCATGGAATTCTAGGCTGAACGTTTCTCTCCATAGCCTTCTCTTTTTGACTTGTCGATGGATGAGGTTCTTGAGGAAAATAAAGAGGTAGGACAATTTTCCAGGGACTAGACTTTTATTAGACTGTTTATATCTGGGTTGGTTTTTTTTTTTTTTTCCTTTTTCAGATGGGTGAGTCCAACGACGACATAGACCAAATGTTCAGCAATTTGCTGGGAGAGATGGATCTTCTGACCCAGGTAAATACTCCTTAACTTTCAAATTAGTAAAAGACAGATTTACAGAATTTGGCTTTAATAGGATGAAAGAGCTATCTTTAAAAAAACAACGACTGGAGATTAACAATATCGTTTCTTCCTGAGGTAACTATAACAGTAGCGGGTAATAAAACAAAGCTGTTTTTCTGATTCTACCCTCTGAGTTCAGTTCATGGAATACATTGGTCACACACATATTCTGTTCTGGCAGTTCCCATGCTTATCTTGTTCAGATATTTAGCCAATGGAGAAATTTTCCCCAAGCAAACCCTCACAACCACCACCACTGAACAATTTCCCCTGCAGTTACTTTTATACAAAGACTAGCCAAGAAAATCACATTATTGTTAATAAAGGTTCTTTCCCAATCTTTGAGGAAACTGCTGCATTTTAAAGGATAATGGGAGTTATTGTGGCTTCTGATTAGTCTGTAAGAACTTAGTCCTCTCAAGGATCACAAAGACCACTGAGACAGGCTTCATGTCTAGGAAAGAGCTACTGGCCCCAGAACTAGATTAACTGAGATCACCCCATTGTTGGGCTGATGGGGCCCCGGGACTGCTGACCTGAGAACCCTGACCCAGGTAACAGAGTCAAGTGAGCATTAGTGTGTCTTGTATTGTTCTCATAAATGCTTCTTTGATTCAGAGCATAGTCAGCTCATCACTGTCTGCATAAAATATTAAAATGAGAATAATCTGGTATTCCTAAATAAGACAAAGATCTTAAAAGCTTTCTAAAAAATAATTGAAGAATAGTCTATGTTTTTTAAAGTACTTGTTTCAGGAAAAATAAATCAATTTTAGTTAGCTTCTGCTTTATAGTTTATATAAAATTCAAGAATGTTTAGCCTCTGTGAAGGAAGAAACAAAATATGAGATGGTAGGCTTAGATAAAAGGGGTGCTAATTAACACTGAGTGTTAGGATGGTCACTTCATTCTTCTAGAGGAGAGGAAGTTCTTACACCACCCATAAAAGGGAAGGATTTGAATGAACAACTGTGGTCTCCATCCCTTCACTCACTTCTCCAAGTGGGAGAATGCTCCTTTTTTTATTTTTTTACAGATTTATTTACTTATATGAGAGAGAGAAAGTAAGGGTAGGGGGGCAGTGGGAGAAGAAGAGAAAGGAACGCAAGCAAGGTCCAAAAAAGGACCCCTTAGGGCGGAGTTCATCTCCAGGCTCCATCCTATGACCCTGAGATCAAACCTGAGCCAAAACCAAGAGTTAGACGCTTAACCCACTGAGCCACCCAGGTGCCCCATGACTATTCTGATTGGTCATAGTCTGGGATTCTCATAGGATCACAACAGTGTTGTTACTTTAACTCAAGAGTGGGAAGGGGTCCGGCATAGTGTCTTGGACCTTCCTCTCCTCGAGGTCCTTTTGCTATTTGCTCTTTCTTTATTGTGCTTAAGTGGATGTAGTCACAGGGGTTCCTTGGCTAATGCACCTCTCCTAACAGGTAGGCCTCAAGAGTTCATGGTAAAGAGCAGGCCCCACTTTGTCCTTGAGTTTAAAATCTAAGCTTCAGTTCAACCACTATCAAGTGCCCTCTGAGATTATTGAGTATTCTCTGAGTCATTAGAAAAGCTGTATTTTGATCTTCATTTGTGAATTTTGTGCATATTCAGTTCTTTGAAGCTACAGTGTGGTTGGCTTCCTAATTTCCCAAAAGAAGCAAAATTAAAAGAAACGAAAATGTAATAATGTGATTTTAACTTTTTTATCTTGAAATAATTTCCAGCTTAGAGAAAAGTCAGAATAATAACACAAAGCACTCCCATTCACTTTTCTCCCAGATTTCTCGTCAATTAACATGTTAACTCTATTTGCATTATCATTCCTATTTCTGTCTCTTTGTCTCTGTCTCTGTCTCTCTCTCCATTATATATGTGTTTGTGTTGTGTGTGTTATATGCATGTGTATGTATATATTTCTGCACACATATATGTACATACATATATGTATGTCATGCATTTAGAAACTATGTATATGTATATACATTTCTGCATAGAGAGACATAAAGGCTAAAAACCAGTACATATGTTAGCTGGATTTTTTGTGCAAAAAGGAAACCAAGCCATTGCCACTATTTATATGAGAAATATTTAAATACACAAATATCCATGAATATATATTTTTTTATTTTTTATTTTTTATTGGAGTTCAATTTGCCAACATATAACATAACACCCAGTGCCCATCCCATCAAGTGCCCCCCCCCAGTGCCCATCACCCAGTCACCCCATCCCCCCGCCCACCTCCCTTTCCACCACCCCTTGTTCGTTTCCCAGAGTTAGGTGTCTCTCATGTTCAGTATCCCTCTCTGATATTTCCCACTCATTTTCTCTCCTTTCCCCTTGAATCTCTTTCACTATTTTTTATATTCCCTAAATGAATTAGATCATATAATGTTTGTCCTTCTCCAGTTGACTTACTTCACTCAGCACAATACCCTCCAATTCCATCCACGTTGAAGCAAATGGTCAGTATTTGTCATTTCTAATGGCTGAGGAATATTCCATTGTATATATAGACCACAGCTTGTTTATCCATTCATCTTTCAATGGACATTGAGGCTCCTTCCACAGTTTGGCTGTTGTGGACATTGCTGCTATAAACATTATCCATGAAAATATGAAAAAGAAGAGGTAATACTACATTAAGACAGATTCATGAGAGAGAATTAGATCCCAAAACATGCAAGAATTTAAAATATGATAAAAATTGCATTTTAATTAAGTAGGAAAAAGGAGAATTATTTAATAAATTGTGTTGGAAAATCAAAAGCTGAATTTCTACCTCAGACCTTATACCAGAATGAGTTCCGTGAGTCAAAGATCTAAATATATGATACATATAGAGAAGAAAAAAATGAGGAAAATCTTTATCCAATCTTAAGATGTGGGTAGCTTTCCTAAGCAAGATATGACACCCACAAGCCATGAAAGAAAGAAGGAAATGTATAAATATAAAAATTTTAAATATCCAAAATGGCAAAAAAACAAATAAGTAAACTATGAGTTCATTTTGATACCAAGAATAAACAAAAATAACAAAAACAAAACTATCAGTCACAGTGAGAGATTGACAGAGCATTAACTTGATACTCTAAAAATTGATAAATAGAAAGACCTGAGCATTTATCTTAGTCTTTGTATGGTCACAGTCAAACTGTATTTGAGACTAAACAAATAATTAATGAGAGAAAGTTCTTTATTTTTTTAAGATTTTATTTTTAAGTAATCTTCACACCCAACATGGGGCTTGAACTAACAACCCTGAGATCAAGAGTCACATGCCCCACAGACTGAGTCAACCAGGTGCCCCAAGGAAGTTTTTCTTTATAGTAGAATTCCAATTAAACATTGAAAAGGAATTAAGAGTTAGAAAATCACCATTATGCAACTTCTGATGAAATAAATTTTCAAGCATATGATGTTAAAGGAGATTAATGCATACAGAGCAGTGTTCTTCTCAATCTTTAGTCACATAATACCTCTATGATTTTTGCCATGTTGCAATCCATCTGTCCTACGATTTTTTGTAATATTTGTCTTTAATTGATTTTTAAAATTAAACTTTATTTAAACCTCAAATAGGTTAGATGTTCTAACTTAATTTTTTCACAGACATCCAAAGAGACCCACAATCATTGTAAATAAACTCTTTAAAAGAAAACTTTTTTAAGTTTCAAAACTTTTTAAAAGGAAAAAAAATTAGATTTAGATTGTATATGTAATATAGCTTTTATATCATATAGGAAGTCATTTTTTCAATTAAAACCCATTATTTACAAAATTAATAACTTCCATCCTAATTTCTTTTTAACAAGAATTTTATTAGATAAGAGTAACATACTACCTAATGGCAGATTCATCCTGAAACAACTTTTATCTTCCAAGTGAACATTCCTTTTCTTTGATGTCATTACTTAATTTCTTATAGAATTGCATACAGTGTATGTGCCACAAATGTACCATTACAGGAGCTATTTTTCTGTTATTTATAAAAATTGACTGTCCCATGCTCATCATTTTCAGTTGACCTGCCTTGTTTCAAAGATGTACCTTGTAGAATAATTTTTAAGTTGTAATTTTCTGTAGGGAAAAACAAACACAAAACATTTTCATGTAAGAACACAGTTTTTAAAGAGCATATTTAGAAAGAAAATATATAAACAATAAATGATTTTTACTAAATGATTAACATACACTGTCCAGCATGTTCATGTGGTGAATAACTTTGGGGGAACGGGGATCTATTTTCACAGAGTTTAGGAGTGGACACTCTTCCTCCTCCTGAATCCAAACCGCCCAGAGCTGAATTTAACTACAGTGTGGGTTTTAAGGACTTAAATGGTAAGTATAATAATGTATATTCTTAAGTAACTTGAGATGGTAATGATGACTAAAATCTGTACAGAACGGGGAGGAGGGCGGGGGGTGGGGGTGAATGGGTGACGGGCACTGAGGGGGGCACTTGACGGGATGAGCACTGGGTGTTATTCTGTATGTTGGTAAATTGAACACCAATAAAAAATAAATTTATTAAAAAAAATAAAAATAAATAAAATCTGTACAGAACTACAACTTAAAAATAAAAATGTAAGGAAACGTCCAGGTTCCGAGATCATCACATTATTTTATTAACAAAAATCTCTCTTCTTATTTAGTGTGGAGACAGTAGCCCATATGCTATTCAGATTATAATGAATCTTGAAGTAATTGCTTCAAAGTTAATGAGAATTCACTGCAACTCTTAAAAAAGATTTTCCAAAGACTGGCTGGCAGTACCCACCAAAAAAATGAAAAACAAAATAATAGAGAAGCCCAGTTACAGAAATCCAAAACTTCCAGATTTTTTTTCTGTCAGTCACTGGATTTGTTTCTGTTATTTTCAATATTTTTTTTATAAACCCTTAGGTGCCAAGGCCTGCCCCTGGATTGGTTACAATACATCTCTTCTGACTACTTTTCCCACTACCTTTTCTGTTTGCCATATAAATTTACTATTTACTATTCCTATTCCATTTTCATCATACAATTGAATGATAGTAGCATTCATGATGTTTCAAAAAATTAATGCACTTGAGTAAAATGTATGATATTAATAAATAACATAGACTTGCACATATAAACAATGCCGAGTTGCCGCCTCTTGTTCACAATGGCTAAATGCTTTAATCAATTCAGTTAAAATTAAGAATTAATACTGCAATTATAATCAAGTCAACTAATGCTTTCTAAGCACTCAGTACTAGTATCCAAAAATTACTGAAAATGACAGAAACAAAGAAATCCAGCAATATATAAACATAGTAATGTTGAAGTGCAGTAACAAGAAACTCATGTAATTGAGATAAGATATATACATGTGGCACAACTTGGGTATAGGGCCAAACTATTAAAAAGTATTGATATGTACTGAAAATTAAGTGTGTTATTTCAGAAAAGAAATAATTTTCTTACTGTCTTCACATTGCTAAAATGAGTTAAAAATATTTTGCCCAAAGTCATTCAGAGAATTAGTGACAGAGTTCTGAATAGAATCCACTTCATTCTTATTCCCCAATTTTATAAAGATACAGTTAGGATTATGATTTGCTTTGGAAGTTGTTAATATGAGAATTATTATGGGAAATTTGTCCCTAAGATTTTAATAAAAGATTAAAATCATTTGCTTAGATGGCAGCAGTCACATGTGAATGTGCCTTATTTGTTCTACATATATTTTCTCTGAAAATTTTTAAATTAATTTAATTTTTTGAAGAAGTTATTTGCAAAAATGGCTTAGAAGATGATGAATCCTTCTTACGCAGATAGGAGATCTAGACCTTAGTCCAAGTGCTGTGCACTAGAACTGTTAGCAGGAGTACAATATGCTACATGGTGTTTATTGTGATGATGTTTGGCAATAAATCTTTCACAAAGCCTTATGCTTCTTGCTCATTAGGCTGCATTTCCTTGTTCTAGTACATCCTACACACAGCAGGTGAATCCTTTTCTTCGTGGATCCCTTCCGTCCTGCCCATGCTGTGTTCATTACCTTTGCCATCCAGGGAATGCCTGATCACCAGAGCACTCTGCTGACACCATTCACTGACATCATTTCCCTTAGGCCTCATCTCTGTCAGCTTTCAGGATCACATATCCAATGGCCTATCACACGTGGAAGAAATTCCAATGAGAATTGTCCCCCCCCCCCACCGAAAGTCTACATCTGCCCTTTTTTTTTTTAAAGTCAACTCTTAGCTCAGCATCTTACAAAGTCTTTACCACTTAACCCCAATTTTTAAAAATTATATTTTGCTTCAGCCTCCTTAGTGCTTTATTTCCTGCTGTTTATCATTAATTTCCCTCTTCTCTGAATGTAAGAGTTTCTGTAGTTGGATAGTATGCCTACAGAAGCTCTATCCTTACCATAAGTCTCAAAGCATATTAAACTCCAGTTGATTGAATCCTACTCTCTCCCAAGTATATTTATCAGTGGTGCTTCTGGAAGAAACTCCCTTTCCATCTGTTTCCAACATCTCCCCTCCCCTGCTTTTCTAAATCTCTCAGATCTTGCACCAGAATATACAAGAATTCCTACTTAGGCAGTTAATGATGTGCTTGGATCTGACTTTATAGATAAACTGTGAGGGTACACATTTTTCTCCTTTTATTTTTTTTGGGGGGGTGAGGGATTCAGCTTTGTTGAGATATAATTGACAAATAAAATTAAGACATTTAAAGTGTACAGCGTGATGACTTGATATATATATCCCAGGTGAAAGGATTTCCTCCATCGAGTTAATTAACACATCCATCACCTCACATATTTACCCTCTTTGGTATTGTTGAGAACGTTTAAGTTCTCCCTGGGCAGATTTCAATGATACAATAATGTTATCAACCATAATCACCATGTTAGATAAATTAGATCCTCAGACCTTATTCATCTTTATCACTGAAAGTTTATACCCTTTCTCCAACCTCTCCCTATTTCCCCCACCCCTTCCCTAGCCCCTGACAACCACTACCCAAATATCACTCTTAAAAATGACCTTATTTTAGTTTTTCCAAGTGTAAATTATTGTTTTGATCATTAACATGATTTTCCCCATCAGAGTCCTTAAATGCACTGGAAGATCAAGATTTAGATGCTCTTATGGCGGAACTGGTGGCAGACATAAGTGAAGCTGAGCAGAGGACAATCCAAGCACAGAAAGAGTCCTCTCAGAATCAGCATCATCCAGCATCCATAGAGGTACCAGATTTCAGTGGAGCAGCTGCTCTTAGTTATGGAGCAAATGTCACTGCAATTAGTGTTAGCCAATATGAGGATGACTTACCACCTCCGCCAGCTGATCCCATGTTAAACCTTCCTCTGCCACCACCGCCTCCTGAACCTCTATCTCAGGTAAGTGAGTAGGGCAAAGATGGCAGGATCTTAAAAAAACAAGGATACCGAGTACATTCATTGCAAAGCCAGAGTCCTCCATAAAAAGACACATTGGTGTGTATAAAGAACATACTGGGGCCATATTCAGGAATTATTATACTTGGCTAAAATTTATATTTGTATGCAATGCTCCCTAATAATACTCAACCTTTTGGGGTAATGTTTTATTAACTTGACATGAACTGTGGAACCAATATATACACGTGTGTGTCCCTGGTGCTAGCCCAGTGCATAAAGTATTGAAAGCATTCTTTATGTAATTCTGAATTGAATTAAATGGAATTTTGTTGAATATGTCAACTCTGTTCAGTAGGGCAAAGATACTATGAATCATTTGTAGTGTAGTAGTTGAGTGGGGCAGGAGTAGGGGTGTTCTAGAGCAAGCAGGTGATGAGTGCTCAGTATTAATGAATTTCTGAACCCTGGGAAGATACACATCTGGGAAATTCATATCACCATTATTTGGAACATTAACCTATAATGTGTCTCTCATAAAAGTAAAAGGAGCAATTTAAGGATTTTTCTTACAGTAAGCCACTTGAAAAATATTTTATTTTTTTAATTTTTATTTATTTATGATAGTCACACACAGAGAGAGAGAGAGAGAGAGGGAGAGGCAGAGACACAGGCAGAGGGAGAAGCAGGCTCCATACACCAGGAGCCTGATGTGGGATTCGATCCCGGGACTCCAGGATTGGGCCCTGGGCCAAAGGCAGGCGCCAAACCGCTGCACCACCCAGGGATCCCCTGAAAAATATTTTAAAGTAAGAACCCAGCTCTATTTCCTGTAGCTTCCTCATTTGTTGTACTGTGTGATGATGATCAGTATTCATAAATATGGCCCTAGTAACCCTAAAAGTTCCTACAATGCCTTTTGAATGAATGAATATTAAATATAAATCAAGTGTTAAGTCATACTCTATCATGCTCATTGTTCTAGTGTGTATTTATTGTAGAAATATTATTTGAAAATTAGTGACCCATGTAGAGCAGAGGCTTTTATTCCCCAGCTTTATTTTATAATTGACATATAACACTATGTAAATTTAGGGTGTATCATGTCATGATTCGGTACAGATATACTGCAATATGATTACCCTAATATGATTAGTCACACCTCTATCACTTCACACTACCTTTGTGTGTATGGACAGGTATATGGTGAGAACACTTAAAATCTACTCTCTTAGCAACTTTCAAGTACAATATAGTACTGTTAACTATAGTATCCATGCTGTACATCATTAGATTCCCAGAACCTACTTGTCTTTTAACTAGAAGTTTGTACCCTTTGACCAACATCCCCCCATTTCCTCATCTACTCCCAAATTCTGGCAACCACCATTATACTCTTTCTATTTCTATGAGTTCAACTTTTTTAGATTCTATATATAAGTGCAATCATATGGCATCTGTCTTTCCCTGACTTATTTCACTTAGCATAAACCCTTTGGGTCCACCCATGTTGTTGCACACGGCAAGATTTCATTCTTTTTTATGGCAAAATAATATTCCATTGTATATATACCACATTTTCTTTATCTATTCATCCATCAGCAACACTTAGTCTGTTTCCATGTCTTGGCTATTATGAATAATGCTGCAGTGAACATAGGAATGCCAATGTCTTCAAAATAATGATTTCATTTTCTTTGGATATATACCCAGAAGTGGGATTTTTAGATCATAGGCTGTTTCTATTTTTAGTTTTTTGAGGCACATTCATACTGTTTTCCATAACAACTCCACCGATTTACAGTCCTACCAACAGTGCACAGGGGTTCTCTTTTCTCCACTTCCTCCCCAACACTCGTTCTCTCTTGTCTCTGATAACAGACATTCTAAAGAGCAAAGGCTCTTAACATAATGTCCATGAAGATTTCAAGGAGGCCATGATTTCCTGAAAGTATATGCAAAGTTGAATACACATGTAAAGCTTTATGGGCTTCATGGATTTCGACATATTCCTAAAGGGGTTTGTGGCTCAAAAAAAAAAATTAACAATTACTAGTGTGAGAGGATATATGTCTGCTTTCAGGTAATTAGCATGTAACCAGAACAGCTCATTTCCTCATCATTGTAAATTGGTATGAAGGCCTTAATAATCTTATTCTTGGAATATTTACTTACAAGTATCAAAGGACTTTTGGGCTTATAAAATATTTCACTCTCTTTTCTGCCTACTCATATGTTTGTCAGTGTTTTCTTGGTGAATTATAAGTTTAAGTTTGAGTCTAAGTCTTAACTTTTGGGAAGTACCCCCTTAGGACTCAAATAAAAAGCTAAGAAGAATTCCAGAAAACACTAGCTGATCCAGAAGAATGTGTATAATTTCTTAGAGTATTTAAATCCCTTGAGACCCACCAACAGATTCCTCAGGTTAGACCCCACTCAGAGATTTTTGTGGACTTCATATGTGAGGCTAGTTTAGAGTCATCATTTTATCTTAGAAATTAGCGCTTCTAAAATACAAAAGATGACTGCCTTCTACATCTTTGGGCTGAAGATTTTTATTACAGTCATTTAAATTCTGAAAATCAAACGTGAAATTTGGCGCCTCTGAACCCAGCCTTTTGTTAACATAAAGCAACTAAGATGTTTGCCATGACTTGGGTACTTTCTCACTGCTCTTCTCTAGTGGACTGTGTCGAATGTCTTGCTGTTTTACAGGAAGAAGAAGCAGCTCAAGCCAAGGCTGATAAAATTAAGCTAGCATTGGAAAAACTGAAAGAGGCCAAGGTCAAGAAGGTAAACTGTGAATCATTTTTATGTGGGACAGTTAAATTAATAACATGGTATTATACTTAATGATAAAAAAATAAAATTTTGAGTAGTGTTTTCCAAATAGTTGTAATTTTTTTTAATTTTAGGACAAAGATAATTACATAGTTATTCTTTCTGTGACATCAGTTAGCTTATTTCTGACTAATTAATCAGAACCTATGTTGATGTAAATGTGGAAGCTTCCAAGTTTCTGCTCCCAGGGCTCTTTCCCCTGGCGGCACCCTCTTGGGTTCTGCTCAGCTGCATTGTAATCACCACAAGTGGCACCACCTCCTGGACCCACCTTAACTAGGTCAGAGCTCAGCCTCCATTGACCTTGCTAATAAGCATGTCCATGATTGCTTTTGTGCCATTTTCTTACCCCTGAGGCAGCTTTCAGTCCTGCTGCCCACCCTAGATGTCCTGGTCATCTCCAGAGATCCCAAATGTTTGGGCTAGTGCTCTGGGTTCAACGTTGCATAAATTTTGAGTTACCTGCCTAATCCTATTTTTCCAATAATCCTGCAATTTTACTGAGTTGTTTTCTGTAGACTATAGCTTTCCAGAAACATATAACAGAAACACATGTATTTAACCTTAGTAGAATAGAAGCACTTACCTCATAGCAATGAGGTGTTGATAATAGTTAATTTGGTTACTTGGGAGAAAGACGCAATAGTCTTATTTCAGTTCCTGAAGCATATGCTATGTCTGAGACCACTTAAGAACTTTTTACTTCTAGTTGGGGGAAAAACATTAGACTCTATGTTCCTACAGCACCTCCCATGATTCCTTGAATGAAGGTGTTCAGTACATGTTGAATGATATTCAGTAAATAGTCCTCAACTGTCCCTGGATCCAGACTTTCAAGGTTCATCTATGAGAGTCTTCCTAGATCAGTCTGATCCTGTTCATTCTAAACATGCATGAAGGTTTTTTTACTATTATCCTCCCCTGTTTTCTACATGCAAGAACATGTGCCCCACCACCTACCCCATTCTCACTATCTGGTGTCACCACTGCTCTTCCAACACTCCAGGTATGCCCTGACCTCAAGACCTTTGCACTTTATGGTACCCAGTCTCAAAAGTTCTTCCCCAGATTCCAGTGGGTTTTCTCTGTTTCTCCCCTAGGTCTGGTCACCTGCTCAATAAAGCCTTCTCTATCTGACATTATGCACACACCCACAATCCTCCTTCTCCCCTACTTTCTTTTTTCCCTCATTACTCATCACCAGCCAACATAATATCCACTCTACTGTTTATCATGTTTATGTTTATTGCCTACATCCCCTCTCTACCCCCACAGAAGTTCTTCCAGGGATTTTTGTGTTTTCATCTCTGGTGCAGCCCCAGTTCATAGAGCTGGGTTTACAGAGATAAACCAGGTCAGGTCCCTGCCTATGTAGAATTAAATTCTAGCAGGGGAGCAAGTGTTAGGAAGAAAATAAAGCTGAAAAAAGTGATGGAGAGTGCTCAAGTCACTTCTAGATGGACCTCATGATGGGGGAAGCCTCCCTGAGGAGGCAGTACCCTGAGCAGGACTGTGTGGCCATTGCTCAGAGAGCCATTGAGTAGGAGGGAGAATAAAGAGGACTTGAGGTCAGAGAGGCAGGCCAGGCCACTCAGCCTCACAGGCCCGAGAAAGAGTCTGGAATTTAAGTTCATTGGGAAGCCACTTGAGGGTTTTTAAATCGGGGATAATATCTGGTTTTTAAAGATCATCTCAGCTGCTGTGTGGGAAATGGATTGTAGGGGGAAGGATGACAATCAGAGTGGCCCATTCTACAGCCCACTCTGGCACAGCAGCTCACTGTCCATCATTGTGGGCTGCACTGGGTCAATGACTTTACCTGTCAGATAAAAACACAAAAAGAAATGAGTAAAAAGAAAATTCATAGTTACTTAAACTATTTTAAACCACTGTATTGTTTATAAAAAGGGGGCCACACTGGCTATATTTTCAGAGGGGAAGTGAAAAGAGAAGTTGATTCTTAAATAAAAAGGTAGGACAGCTAGCTGAGCTGATCTGCTTCAACTAGAGGTTAAGAGGCGGGTAGGAGAATGGCAGCTGTTTCCTGCAATGTATCAGAAAGCCAGAGAACTTCTCCATAACTTAGGTGGGTGAATTGTAGCAGTAAACACTAAGCAGAGCCTGTATTGACTCAACAAAGAAGATGTAAAACAGAAGACACCCTGATCAGTGGGAAAGGAGAGAAAATTAAGAAGCCATGTTGTATATTTGGTCTGATTTCAGACACTCCAAACATATCCCTTAAAACAAAAGCCTTTAAGCACAGAACATTAAGAGAATAACTAAGATGTGCTCATACATAATCTGCAACGTGGAAATCAAGTCTCTTTGAAGTACTTTGACCTCAAGTACTCTGTGGGGCATTGACATCATTTTGGATTGCAAGTGATGATCACAGCTTATGTGACAAAGCTTTTGGAACTGGAAACTTGTTAGTTTCATATGTTCGTTTGCTTTAAAGCTCTGTGATACAGGAGAACAATTTCATAACTGAATTTTAGCACGGAAGCAAAAAATGTATATTATAAAGGATTTAGGGCTAGGATATTTTTTATTTAACAACTTGCAAAAGAAAAAGAAGAAAGTTTAAAAACCATACAGTCTTTACTGTAACAGATTAGGAAGGGGAGGTTTTTTCCATGCTGAAATCATTCTACCCTCTATCAAACAGTGTAAATATGAAAAGCACTCTGCTTGCTAAATCACATAACTGGGATCTAGCAATATTATGTGTTGGTGTAGCTACTCTTCAGCTTGTAAATGTGATAGAAGCTGTGAAGAATAGTAAATATAATTTCTTCTTGCTAAAAGTCACCAGCCTTCTCTTGCTTTTTTAATTTTCTAAGTTCTATAATTGTAGACATTCATAACTACATGTGGATTAAATTTAGTTTGCAGTTTCTGCCAAAAAAATAAAAGAACAACTTTTCATCACTGTCAAATTATGTGGTTTAGTTTTTTTTTCCTCTATGTAAAAACAAAACAAAACAAAAACAAAAACAAAATATGTTTTATTTTCTCAGGATCCCTATGCAGAAATGAAATGTGGTCAAACATTGTTACATTTTTGCATCAGGGAGATTGTCTTCTCAATCCTAACATTGGCAGTGTTTCTTAGGACACATAGCCTCTCTACAGCAGTAATTCTCAGCAGAGAGCAGTGACTATGCCTTCCACACACAGAAAATAAATCCTAGGAAAGTATCCTATTCAAGGGATTTTCTGTTTTTCTGGCAACCCTCCATGCTTCATTTCTCAGGTCAGAGAGTCTGTCTTTGACATTGTGGCACATTTTAAATACATGAAAAGACAAACCTACAAAAAACAACAATCCAACAAGAGGTTTCTGGGGTATAGATTTTACAGGTTTTCAAGGGAGAAAAAAGTATTCTACAGACAAGGCTGGAATAAAGGTCTAATTTGAATGATCCTGAGGAGAAGAAATGCACTTTTACTGCCCTGATGTCTGTGTTTTGACTCTCAGCGTCCAGGTGTTGAGAAGAGAAGGCATATATAGAGTGCTTCAATTTGTGGTTCCTGCAGGCCCCTCACCTAGATTTCTATCTATACCCACACCCTCAGTCTGTCTTCCATATCTCTGTGTAACAATCCACAGAAACTGCACTCTTCATTCTGTTCACTACAGAATGTTTTCTTTTTTTTAACATTTTATTTATTTATTCATGAGAGACACACACAGAGAGAGAGAGAGAGAGAGAGAGAGAGAGAGAGAGAGTCACAGACACAGACAGAGGAGAAGCAGGCCATGCAGGGAAACCGATGTGGGACTCGGTCTCGAGACTCCAGGATCAGGCCCTGGGCCGAAGGCAGGTGCCAAACCGCTGAGCCACCCAGGTGTCCCCCAGAACATTTCCAAAAGTGTGCGTTAGGTTCTGAGCCCCTAAGAAAGTGCCCCTCCTGTCCCACTTCCACATAATCTGATCTTGAAAACATTCTGATTATGTGGAAGTGGGACAGGAGGGGCACTTTCTCAGGGGCTCAGAACCTAATGCACACTTTTGGGGAGGAAGAAATATTACCAGTAGTCTGGCCTCTCCAGGCCTTTGTCCCCTTGTTTGATAATGGTAAGTCTCACGTGTGAGTAACCAGCACCAACCATGGACCAACAGGATAGGCAGAACTTATCTTTAGCTGTTTCACACTTCTCTTTTCAAGTTAGAATAGAAATTTAAGCAAGAGTATTATCAAGTGGTTCTGGTTGGCGATGTTTCCAGGCATTCTCTGCTGGTGTGTGTAGTGTGTTGAGTTTGCAGGCACCACAGGCTGATGGTCAGTGAGGGCAGTGTTGTCTGGAAAGGGAAAGGCCTTGCATTCAAAGATAGACTCTTAACTTGATTGACTCTAACTAAAGCTACTTCCCACTTAATTAGGTAGGATCAGTGATCTTAGTAAAGAATAAGAGCACAGGTCTTCCCAGAAGGAGTCGTAGAAAACCTTCCCTTAACATACATGTGTAGTAAATTGAGACTTAGTGGGCACATTTCCAGTGTTCCTTTTAAAGACTAAATAGATGGCCCCATTATAACCTGTAGCACTCATAAATAACAACTACTGTAATCAGAAATGCACTACAAATACACAGGTGTCAAAGAAAATCCAAACTCTGGCTGTATTATTTCATGAATTAATTCTATTGTATTACATCAGAATCATGGTCTCTCTGGGGAGGGAGGATTCAGAAGGTGTAATAACTTTGCCAAGTTGCCCAGAAGAAAACAGTAAAGTCCTATGTCCTTACTGAATATGAGTAAATTCTGCTCCCATCAAACCCTGCAGATCTGTTTTGGGATAAATACCAATTTGATGGTTAAATCAGTGCTGGAGAATATTTTTTTAATGAAATGAAAAGTAAGCTTGATCACTGATTTGCCTGCGTGCCTTCATAATAGCTAGTTTCTCTGTCTTCATTCATTTTGCCTAATCCACCTCTAATCTCAAACATATTCTGCTGTGACACAGCCTATTTGTCCCCTTAAGCATGCTGTGTCACTTGCGCTGCTGACCTTCAAGAGAATTGTAGATTAACCAGCATTGTTAATCTAAGTGTATCTTAGAACCCTTGGGTTGCATGAAATAGGACTCAACTTCAGCTAAGCAAAAGAGAAGAATGTATTATAGATACACTTTCAATCAAATGCTTCTTGGCTCCAGTATAAATCTGAATAAGTGCAAGGAAGATGTTATGAAAGCAGGAAGCCATCACTTTGATTCTGTTTTCTCTTTCACCAGAATGTGGAGTGCCTGAAGGCTGGCAAGGACTTGATTATGTATGGTTTGTTTTGTTCTGTTTTTGTTTTTGTGAATTGGTTTCTCTACCTCTGTATTCTTAATGCCTTAGACAAGTACTGAGCATATCAGTTCATATTGAGTGACTTTGCAGGACACACTCTTACTTATTCACAGAAACAATGGCAGCTTTGAAATCTTCATCTTCATGACCTTCTCCAGTTGCTGAAATTTACTGGCTGCTCTGTGGCTTTATCCTCAGCTTGTTGTCAAGGTACATATGAATGATAACAGCACTAAGTCATTAATGGTGGATGAGCGGCAATTGGCCCGAGATGTTCTAGACAACCTTTTTGAGAAAACCCATTGTGACTGCAATGTAGACTGGTGTCTTTATGAAATCTACCCAGAACTACAAATTGGTAAGTCCCATCCCTAGTGATAAACTACTCCAAAAACCTGTGGGTTTCCTTTACGATGGGTTTGTTTCTTATTAAGAAGAATTTGGTTCAAGGCTCTCAAGACTTCCCATAAATCACTCTCCTCTTATGTCACATTCAGTGCTTGCCTCCTCATTTCTCTGTGAAGAGACTTGGATTATAGCAAGTAACCACACCTTGGGGCATGTCAGCATTATTACTGCCACTTCTCTAGTGGTCCCATAAGGAAGAGAAAGTGACAGGATGATACCTCTTACTGCATGCTTAGTAAACTGTGCAAACCGGGGTGGGGGGGTGGGGTGGCTTGGATATCTGTCAGCTAATATATCTTTAGAGTTTCCTTCTTTAAACTATAGTGTAACTCTGTCATACATCAATGTTTCCCCTTCTACCATCCCCACTCATTTTATCTAGTTAAAGAGGCTCAGTCCCAAAGAGCAAAGGACAGTTGGTAGAAATTGATGGAGAGGAAAAAAAAGGTAAAAAAGCAATTAAAGAAATATTCTTTTTACTTCTCATTGTCAAAATCACTTGGAACAGTTTTTTTTTTTTTCTCTCTCTCTCAGGAGAGCTTGATGGAATCCAGAATTGCCTGCCTTAGAAGCTTTCAGTGAATTTTTTTTTCTGGAGGAAAAGGTCTATATTGAAACAACCTCTTGAAGGATTTTTTTTTAACTCCCTGAGTCAAATAGAGAGTTGAAAAGCCTTCCTTTATGTTTACATTTGGCTCAGATATGCATATATTGTTTTTAGAGTCTTTGGGGTAATATTTTAGAGAATATGTCACATGTCTCACAGCTTCATTCAGAGTTGTTTAGTCAATTATTGCTTCATGGTCCTTTTTATGAATAAGATGTCTACCTCTATCTGGACTATTTAAAGTAAAAAATGCTAAGAGAAAAGTGAAGTGACTGGCTATTGTCACAATATTGTATGTTCATCTGCTGTACTTTTTTATGGAAAATAAGTTGAAGACCTGGCACTGAAGAAGAAACATAATAGGAGTGTTACAGTGTGGCATTATGTAAGAATGAAGAATTTCTAAAAACCAATGAGAGGTAGAAAGCATTGTGTTTAATTCCATACTAGCTTATTTCTCTGTTGGAAACCGTAATGTCTTGAGTCCGAAAGAATGCTTTCTTGTTTCATCAGAAAGGATTTTTGAAGACCATGAAAATGTTATTGAAGTCTTATCAGACTGGACAAGAGACACAGAAAATAAAGTGCTGTTTTTGGAGAAAGAGGAAAAATATGCTGTATTTAAGAACCCCCAGGTAAGATAACTTGTATATAGTTAAACCACATAAAGTATGGAGGATATTTTTTTAGTCTTACCTGTGTACTAACATCATTCATTATCTCACAAAATAATGCAAATTTATTCCTTTCAGAAAACACAAACCCAATTCTTATATCATATGTAAACTAATAGATCCTTGAAAGAGTTAAACAGAAAAGAAACCAATTTGTTTCTTTGGATTCAGTGTCCAAAACATATCTGTTTGACTAATCCTCTTCTTCTGTCCTTATTTCCATTTGGCTACATTAATTCAGTATACTGTGTTGCATTAAGAGTCATTAATGCTTCATGTTTTAAAGACATTGCTTTTTGTTGTTGCTAATATTTGGTGCTTATTGATGCTGGAATAATTAAAGAGAGCACCTAGAAAATGTCCAGTTTATTATGATTTAATTCTACAAACAGGCCACATAATAAAAAACATTGTTCTCCATATTTGAAAAGGCTTCCTTCAAGTCATATGTACAAGGATGTTACAGAAGTGTAGACCTTTTCCCACGGTGGCCTCTAGCCAACTGTAATTACATGAGGGTCATTAAGACTTTTTGGAAGTCAAAGAATGTTAGACACAGATGAGATTGTTGGGGACATCCAGACACCTTTATATTTTATAGGTTAAAAAAAAACAAGTCCTGGGGTGCCTGGGTGACTGTCAGTTAAGCATCCAACTGTTGATTTCAGCTCAGGTCATGATCTCAGGGTCCTGGGACCGAGCCCCCGCTTTGGGCTCTGTGCTCAGCAGGGTGTCTGCTTGAGAATTCTCTCTCCCTCTCTCTTGGCTTCTCCCCCTGCTGCTGCTCACTCTCTAAAATAAATAATTAAAAAAAAAGACCCATATCACTAGAGGCAAAAATAGAAGGATACTCTTAGCTTTCTCATGAGAAAAATACTCTTTCCTCTACACTGTGCTTTTTTGTAGAGTCTTCTCTAGGTTTTGTGGTGGCACACTGACAACAAAGCAATTAAATACTATTGTCTTTGACAAATATTGAACAGTAAAAGTATGGTTGGCCCTGAACACTTAGTGGGGTGGGGAGGGAATTTAAGGGTGCCAACAACCCATGCAGTAGAAAATCTGTGTATGCGGGGATCCCTGGGTGGCTCAGCGGTTTAGCACCTGCCTTCAGCTCAGGGCATGATCCTAGAGTCCCGGGATCGAGTCCCACTTCGGGCTCCCGGCATGGGGCCTGCTTCTCCCTCTGCCTGTGTCTCTGCCTCTCTCTCTCTCTCTCTCTCTCTCTCTCTCTCTCTCTCTCTCTGCCTTTCATGAATGAATAAATAAAATCTTTTTTAAAAAAAGAAAAGAATCTTTAAAAAAAAAGAAAATCTGTGTATAACTTCTCACTCCTCAGAAACTTAATTACTAATACCTTACTCTTGACTGAGAAGCCTTACCAATAACATAAACAGTCAATTAACACATATTTTGTATGTTATGTATTATATAGTGTGTTCTGACAATAAAAAAGGTAGAGAAAAAACATTATTAAGAAAATCATAAGGAAGAGAAAATATATTTATAGTACTGTATTTTTTTTTAAATCTGTATATAAATGGACCATGCAGTTCAAACCTGAGTTGTTCAGAGATCAACTGTACAAAATTTTCAAACCATAACTACCTTCGGTGGCATGCTTTAATGCCTATATTAGTTAGGGTACCATCTCAGCTTCTGTAACAAGGAGACTTCCCACAATCAGTGGCTCGAACCACCTAGAAGATTGATTCTTCCTCACATACCAGTCCAGGCATAAGTGGATAGATCTAGTAGGAGGCCATGCCATCCTCAGCAGGTGGCTTCTATCTCAGTGCCCAAGGCAGCTTTTCTGCTTGGCCATCTTCCAGTCCTTAGGGAGAGAAGAAAGAGCCAGGGAAGTATACAAACCAGACTTCTTATTGGAAAGACCTAGAAATGACACTTTTATTTCTGCCTCCATTCCATTGGTTAGAACTTAGTCACATGGTAATATTGAGCTACACAAGGAGCTGACAAATGCTATCTCTATCTGAACAACCATACACATAACTAAATTTGGTAGTTACATCCAGAGTTACCACTTTGTACGATTCCTCCACAAAGAACCTTTCACATTGAGTCTATAAAAATGGTGCCCAGGAGTTATGTCACATGGCTATAGTATTGTATTAACCAAGAGGAGGAAGAGGAGAATGAATATCAGTGAATCTGCAGCTTGCTGTGGCACCTAATGAATCAGTGCACAAAACACAACTATATACTATGAATTTTTACAAAGTGCACATCCCATTTAACCACCACCCATGTCGAGGAGTGGTATGCCAGCAGACTCACTTATGCCCGTGATCCCCATTACCAAGAGAATCATGATTTGGACCTCTCTGGCCTTGGTTTTTCCTGCTTTTGAACTTTATATAAAACAGAATCATACCATAATACTCTTTGGTGTTTACCTTCATTCATGTTGTTGCATACGGCAGTGCATAGTTTGTTATTTTCCTTTGGCATTTAGTATTCCATTGTGTGATTGTATCAAAATAAGTTTATCTGTTGTATTATTGATGGACATTTGTTTCTAGTTCAGGGCTTTAACAAGTAATGCTATTGAAGACATTCTTGTACCTGTCTTTTGTTGAACATATGTAGACTTTTTTCTTGTATATATGCCTGCAAATACCATTGCTGGATCATAGGTGATGCACATATTTAACCTTAGGAGAAAGTGCCAAGCAGTTTTCCAAAGTGATTGCATGATTTGCCTTTGTTAGTATTGTATGAGAATTTCTGTCATTCCAAATCATTGCCAGCGTTGGTGTTGCCATTAAAAAAAAAAAAAAAAGTTATACTGTATGAATGTGTAGTGGTATCTCCTTTGGTTTTAAGTAGAATTTTTTATTGCCAATGATTTGAGTACCTTTTTAAATGTCTATTATCCATGTAAATATTTCCATTTCTGTGAGGTACCTGTTCAGATCCTCTCCCATGATTCTCAGCCTCTCACCAGGGAGAAAATATGGCTCTCAGAATGTCTTGGCACCTCTTTGTGGTTCCTTTCTCTCTTGGATTTTGGCCCTTTGAGTCCTGGTTGTCTTCATAGCTCTCCAAAGCCTTCGCACAGGCTGGTCCGAAGGTAGTGAGTTATCTCAATTGATTGTTCACAGTCAGTTACAGATCGAACTCCTTGTTCTACTCTTTCCCCCTTCTCACTACTGCACTTGACTAGTCTTAAAAAAAAAAAAAAAAAAAAAAAAAAAAAAGCCTTCACACAGATGGCTTTTGTGGAGCTTTGGTCTAACTACAAGCTACTCTATCATAGGAGGAAGCAGAAATCCTCCTGCTGAATTTTTCTGAATAATAATATGTTCTTAAAAACCAAATTAGTGGATTGTTCTAATTTACAATCACATTTAAAGACCATAATGGAAGTGGAAGCATTTTTGAAGCTGCTAATTTTAGGTATTTCCATTTTCTCAGTGTTTGGTTGGATAATCTATCTTCTGATTAGTGCTATGTGTGAATAACTACTACTACTTCAGCATGCTAACCTTAGGGCTCTCTCCTTGTTCTTGAAGTAGACTGTGACCTTTCCTATGTTGATATCAGGGCTCCTAAAAAGGGAGGCCTCATAATTTTGAAATATCTGCAGTCCCTTTGTAAGAGCTACATATTGAGACCCTTTGATAGTTTTTAAGAGAAGCAACTTTTTAAGTTTACACCAAAAGAATAACAAATTGTAGTAGGGAAGAGTATTTCTGGAGAAACTTTCTTCTGGAAACACAGCCTGTAGATTCTTTTGCTTAATTGTCTTAGATTTTGTCCTCAAGCAGTGTCTCAAGCAGTTGATTCAAAAATCCAAATACATCCTGTATTTCGCTTGGGTTGTTAGTTATTTTTCAAACGTAATTGTCAACACTTATATGTGGTGGCAAATCCCAGAACAGAGTAGTATGTAATGGATACCTGCTTCCACTCACTAGTCAGAGCAACATCTGTGAGCCTACAGCGTGATTATCAGGCCCAGCTGGATTAGGGTGCTGACTAGGAACTATTTCAAGAGTTAGAGTGGCACCTGGGTGGCTCAGTCAGTCAAGCATCTGCCTTCAGCTTAGGTTATGATCCTAGGGTGCTGGGATCAAGCCCTGCATCAGGCTCCCTGTTCAGCGAGCATCTGCTTCTGCCTTTCTCTCCCTCTGCTCTCCCCTTGCTTGTGCTCACACACATATATTCTCTTTCTCAAATAAATGAAATCCTTAAAAAAAGAGTTAGAAACTGTGTGTTAAGAACGATATTTAACCAGAAATTATAAAAGGAAAAGACAGACTCTGTTCTTCCCAAAAGGTTTCAGAATTTTGAGTATCTTTCTCATTTTGACTTATATGATGGGCCTTTGGTAGAATTCACTCCATTTGCTTAGATTTAGCAAACGTTGTAGAGTATCTGTTTACATGTATAACCTGTGCTATTTATGGAGGATACAAAAATGAAGATAATCTTTGCTTTTCCAGCTTTAACATGAGAGTGGCATAGGACAGAGACTGTGGCATGGTGCTGTCTTAAGTCCTAGTGCACAAGGTGCTACTGATAGTGCAGAAGAGCTTTCGTGAAGATATATGCTGAGAGTTTTAGTTTTGAAATTACTATATTAGTTCATAATACCCAAGGTTAGAAGAGCAATGAAACTAGGAACTGGGGAGTCCATTAACCCCTCAGTCCCAACTCTAAGGAAAAAATGCCTTCTGCACAGATGCAAAGAGAGTGCAGCTCAAGGCAAACCACAGATTTTTACCTGTTGACAGATACTGACTAAAGAACAATCTTGCCCTGATTTAGGGTGAATTAAAAGGAAAAACCAACATTGTGTTTATGACAGGATACTGTAGGACCTGACAGAAAATAGCATGTGAAAGACCTTCTAGACAATAAATCAATACAATTAATAAACTTAGGATTCAGAAAAAAATTGTGGAAAATTGTTATCTTCAGTAGAAGGTGGTGAT